GTATTTGGTATTTTAGGGAACTCACTAAGCTTTGTGCTTACGGTTTTCAGTTTATGTTTCAGGTACTTCTGGTTTGAAGGGGAAGAGCTCGGGATGATTGCATTGCACACACCACATTGTTCTGCATTTTTATGACTCTAATGTACTTGGATGTTTAGTGATACACTCTGATTCGCTATGGTTTTTATGATGTTGTTTTGGATAATGGTTTTATTAATTTAAAAATCGAAATTTTTAGTCTTAATTTTTGAGATGTGACATTTATGCTTATTTTTGTATCAGTTATGACATCCCAAGATTTTATAAAGTAATATTTCTTCAGAAATACTTTTATGGGACCAAATTCCGCATTTATAAATAAACTTTGTTTTAAATAAGCATAAATAAAATTTTTAAAATGGATGTATATTTAGGGATGTCACAATACTCTAATCTGCAGATTTTATGATTCCACATATTTGATACTCTGATTTGAGATGATTGTATTTGATGCACATGGGTTTTATCGACTTGGTTTTTATAACATTTGATGTGTTATTTATATTGAAAATCGAAAAAGTTTGTGGTAAAAATGGGACGTTATATTACAATAGTCTTGTTGGTGCGCTCTTATACCTAACTTCTACACATCCTAAAAATATAAAAGGTTATCAATCAAGTACTCCTTTAGATGCATAAAACTCAGGAAACCATATGAATGTTTTAAAATACATCATTTGCTACATCTACTATACTCTTACTCATAGTATTAAGCTTCATCCGTCCTCAATAGACCATGCAGTCGCTTACACCAACACATACTAGATGATATTTACTTAAAGACGTCAGTCCACCTTTGGTTAATGTGTATTTCTAAGTGATAATATTGTACCTAGGTAGTCCAAAAGGCTATGTTATGTCTAATTGAGTGACGAAGCTGAATAACGAGGCATTGCTAATGTCTTTCTAAGGATGTCGTGCTTCATAAGATCCTTTTTAAACTTCATTGTCCCTTATCTCATTCCAAAGTATAAGGGTATAATACTCTTTTATGATAATGTCACTGTTATCGACTTAGTGTCTAATCAAGTACAACACAAAAGAAACAAACTTGTGGAAAAATATTTACCCTTTATATAGGAGCATGTTGTCGTTGCTTAGATTAGAGTATTACATGACTAGTCACCAGGTTGCTAACATCTTCACTACGAGCTTATCGTCATTTTTTTTTCGAGTTTAGGTCCTATTGAGCATTCATGAACCTACCACTAAGACTACATGGGCGTGTTAAATAATGTAGCCTTTTTATTTATTTTGTATAAAATACATGGGGCCAATATGTACCATTGTCATGTTTCTCATACTTTGCCTCTATCGAATTTAAAACTTAATTTGTTTTTAGCCATAAGTATTACATAGTCTCAAAAAAAATGCTATTACTCACATCTTAAGCTCCCCTTTCAATTATCAATCTCTCAATCTCCCCTCACTCGAGCTCTTAGTAACTGAATCCTGGATCAGATTCTTTAGGGTCCACCTCTATATAATGGTCATTCATTATGTTGCTTTCAAGTACTTATCAGATATCATTGTCAAACGATTAGGCTAGTCTTGTGCCCATAAGATAACATCACCACTTAATAAAAACAATAATCACTCAAGAAGTTAGCAATAATATGATAATGACAAAAATAAGTCGCATTATCACAATTTGGCATCCATGTTAGCAAAGTAAAAGAAAAAAATGGTGTAACTCCCAACCTTGAAACCCTCAAAACCAGGTACCAACCGTTGTAAAATGGTGGAATATTTAAAGTAGGATGTTCCAATAAGAAAATTGCTAAAATTAAAAAGCTCGTGATCTTAAAAAAGTAGAAATAACATGCTATTATAACTAAATAAAAATATACAATTATTTTTCTTCAGTTATTCAAATTTCAATCCTCTAAGGTAACATTTGGTGCGTGGGATTGGACTAGACAGAATAAAACAAAATCATTTTTGTTGGCGTTTGGCAAAGACGGAACTAGGACAAGGTGGAATAAAGACTAAAGAGTTGTTTGTTTTTTAAGAAAAACCACTTCTGATCACTTCTTGTTGCGTCGCACAAAACACATACATAAACTAACCTTTCACAGTTGTTTGTTTTTTAAAAGATATGACTTAAAAACTATTGCGTGTGTGCTGCATGATGCAACATTGGACCATACTCTTCAAACCTCTTCTCACATTCCTTTAAGTTATATTATTCAATATAAATTTGTTTTTTTCCCGATAACATGTTTATTATTTTAATAATGTTATGAACGATATTATAAGCAATTCAAATATATTTTACATAATTTCAAAATTGTTTGGTAAATTTCATATAAATAATTATTTGTGTTACATTGTCTATAACCAAATATTAATAAATTATAAAGTTAATTACTAAAATTACAAAATTTGTTGAAGCTAACCGAAAAAATAACTATCGTTTTGGAAAATTTAACAAAATAAACATGTTGTTTGCTAGATCAATAATTTATTTTATTTTTATATTGCAATTATTATATTTAATTATTTTATATAACAACTTTAAAAAATAATATAATTACAATGATCTTTATATTTGATTTACATATGAGTATGAGTAAACAACTTTTTGATTTAGAATTATTTTAACCAGATAATATTTTTAGTCAATATTATTATTTTGGTATCAGATTTAAAAGTCAATGATTAAAAATTAAAAATTCAAATAACAAACATTAAAATTGGTTTTATTTGATGCGGTGTAGATAAATAATGTTAATAAAAGTAACTTCTATATCTGCTCTAAATATGTGATATAAGAATTAAACAACAATTTGGTTAACAACCAAAAAACTTAAATATAATTAATAAGTTTATTGTAGCATGAATAAAAATTATTTTAAGTTTTTAAAATCAGTTTATTTAATTTTAGTTTATTGCAACAGCATGTAAATGTTAAAAAAGAAACATACTTCTTATTACAGATTACAGCCGTTTGATCTATCTCTTCAGCTACAGAAGGTTGTAGATGTGGTCCGCAGACTTCAGACGTTTTTGCTCAGAAAAAATATACACCTAAATCAAATATAACTAAACATTCAAATTTTAGTCCCACCCAAAATGATATAATAAAATTGGACAAGAACATTAAAGACTAATATACTCTCATATCCATCACGTTAATATCTCCAATATGAAGCACTTACGGCACAAAGCACAAACTAAAACTATCTCCACTCTTCACTTGCATTGTCCATGCACCTCAAGAACACCTCCACTTTTATGATAATAATGTCAATAAAAAAAAAAATTCTCTCCACTTTTGCTATCATAATTTAAAGACTTTCCATTCTTTTTTCTCCTATCCTCCAATTCATTTTGTTTTTTATTATATATATATATATATATATATATATATATATATATATATATATATATATAAACTAATAATTAAATATTTGCTAATATAATTATAAAATCATATGAAGTATTTTACTTGTAATTATTATTTGTTAATTCTCAAGGACAATTTAGTAATTTTATGGTCCATGCAATGTCCTGTGCTAGCCATACCAAACGCTAAACAAACAATGTAGATTAGAACATCCACAGTGGAGAGTTTAATGGAAAAGTTGCATTAGGTGACATGTCTACTTGTCATTCAATGTATACAACTCCACCATTATGAAATGTCACATTAGCATTCAATAAATTTGGAGTTTAATGGTCATTGAACTCTTCAATGGGAAAAAGTCTTTAAATCTTTAAATAAATATAACAAATTAGTTTTTGTAGGCTTTTTTATATATATATATATATATATATATATATATATATATATATATATATATATATATATATATATATATATATATATATCCGTAATATGATTTTAAAAATCAAAAGTCTTAGAAAAAAAATGATTCTATGCGCAAAAGTAAGCAAAAATAAATAAATAATCACATTAAGAAAATGGGCCCCATGATTTTTTTTATTTAAAAACATACGAACATACAATACAATAAAACAATCATATAACATTTTAAAAAGATAAAAAATCAATGTTTCCAATTTAACTCATTCTAGAAATACTAATACTAATATATTATACGACTCAAACTTGATGAAATTACATATTAATTTTGATTACTGTCTTGTAAAAAACGTTCACAAATATGTTCCATTAAATCATGGTGACGTGCGTGATGCACTTCACTATAACGTAGTTCAGCGTTTCTTAAAATTTGGTGTTGAATTTACTGGGCTGGTCCTCGATGTACATGTATTGGAGGATCAACATCATCCGACCAATTACTAATCGTATTTCCTTCGTCCTCTATGATTATATTATATAATATAATGCATGCATATATTACATCAAACATGACGAGATGTCAATCTTCTTTTTGGACCTGAGTGCCATGTCAGAAGAGGGACGAGATATTTGGAGGAACCGTTGTGAGGAAATCAAAATAAAATACAATATTTTGTAGTTATTGTATTTTTTAGGTATTTTAATTTAATTAATGTATTTTAATTATTTTATTTCTTTGTGTTTTTAATGAATGCATTTTTCATTTTTTTTAATTTTTATTAATGTATGTTTAACTATTAAATAAATAAATGTTTTTTAGCTATTAAATAAATAAATATTTTTTTAATATGAATTGTGAGATAAAAATGAATAGAATTGTATGGAATAATGAATGATGATGTAACACTTCATTGAATTCAATGCCTTATGGATGCCCTTAGTTTAGTCCAATCTATTTCTATCTGGTTTTGTTAACGCTACATAATTGTCAAACTTGATGAAAAATATATTATAGTCCACTAACAAATTCAGTGTCTCAAGTTCCAATTTCCAAGTTACGATCACCAACAAACTCATGCTATTCAACTCCTTCAAATACACGGATTTTAGGCCTCTTCAATAAACATATTTATTCCAAATTCCAAAACGAGATGACACATGACACATGACACATGCATACACAAACTTAACCTCAAGCCATATTCCCTTCCATTTTGCTACATGGACATAAAGAATCACACTATTCAGCCTTTAGTGAATTTGCCACATCGATCACAAATCGATACCTTACATCAGATTTCAAAAGCCTTTCCATAGCTGTGTTCACATAATCTATCGGTATCACCTCTACATCTGCAGTGATCCCATGCTTTGCTGCAAAATCAAGCATCTCTTGAGTCTCCTTCAACCCTCCAATGTTACTACCACCAACAATCTTCCTCCCTACAAAGCCCATAATTCCACCACTTTTTCAGCCAATTTGACAATTTCATAAGCATAAAGCAAAACACAAAATGACAAAATACTCACCCATAATCAAAGAAAACGCTGCTACTTCAAGTGGCTTCTCTGGTGCCCCAACAAGAACAAGCTTTCCTTGAGCTTTCAGCGCATTCAACAATGGCGCAATCGGATGAGTTGCAGACACTGTATCAATGATCCCATCAAGTGTTCCCGCGACAGACTAATCACAAAAAAACCCAAATCAAAACTCAAAACTTAGCTCAATTCATGAATCATTTACAAAGAAAGAAAAAGATAAAACTCACTTGCATCTCTTTTTCGTCTTTGCTAACTATGAAATGGTCAGCTTTAAGTCCTACGAGTGATTCTTGCTTCTTAGCAGGAGTCGTGCTGAAAACAGTAACTTCTGCACCAAAAGCTTTCGCCATCTTCACAGCGACATGCCCGAGTCCACCAAGACCAACAACACCGATTTTCATCCCGGGTTTATCAAGTCCGAAGTATCTGAGTGGGCTGTAAGTGGTGATTCCGGCACATAGCAGCGGTGCACCGGCATCAAGTGGTAAATTTTCCGGCCATCGGAGGACGAAATGTTCATCTGAAACCATGTGATCGGAGTATCCACCGTATGTCTTTGTTCCATCGAAGTTCGGAACACCATAAGTGAGAACTTGTTTAGGACAATATTGTTCGAAATCAATAGCACAGTTTTCACATGATCTACAAGATCCCACCAAGCATCCAACTCCAACTTTATCTCCGATTTTGAATTTCTCCACTTTGCTGCCAACTTCCGTCACTATACCCACAATTTCATGCCTGTATCATGAGCGAAAGTGAGAAAATATTGGTTTTAGTAAAAGAAACAAAGAAGAATTAAGAGATTAGGTGTTTGAATTCGTACCCTGGAGTAACTGGGTATGTCGTAAATCCCCATTCGTTCTTGATAAAGTGAAGATCGGAATGGCAGATTCCACAATACAGAACTTTGAACCTCACATCTTTCTCCCCAGTAGCTCTGTAAAAAATATCATCATCAACAATGTAATCGAAACATTTCATGAATATCAAAATCTGAAACGAGTGAATGATATAGATTGTTGATTTGAATTACCTTCGGGAGAAGGTGAGAGGGGAGAGTGTTCCAGATGTGTCGCCAGCTGCATATCCATAAGCCTTTACTGGGTGCTCTGTTTCTGGTGATGTGGCCATTGATGAAGCTTGTTGAAAGAGATGCGGATTGAATAATGAGCATGGGTATAAATAGGCCAAAAGGCAAAAAGGGACACGAAAGACCCTTACCACGTAGTGTGGGGAATAAAAAGAAGCTGTTGCTTTTTCAACGTATTCATATCGAATCTCCTGATTTTTGTGAATACTCCGGCTGCAGCTATAGAATGGTCAAACGACATTAATTTCATGATACGTCATTCCTGACGGAAATGTCGACATGTTTTTTTTATAATAGGGGATAGAAACTTTTAGAATATACTACTGTATTATTTTAAGTAATTATTAGTTTTTTAAATATTAGTGTCTATTATAAATTTAAAATGGACAATGACGCACTTATGTATTTTTTTTTAAATTTTTTATAATGAAAGTTTTATTATGATATTATTATATTATGTGTCACATTAATCATTGAGCAAATTTTATTGATGTTTAAACTTTAAAGTGTTATAACAAGAATAATTAATAGTGTTACCATATCTACTTTTATTATTTTTATTATTGCTACTACCTTACTATACTTCTATTATTATTTAATTTATATTTAGGGTAAATGTAAAATAACTTAACATATTATTATAGGGTAATCATCAGAAACCTCATATAAGTTTTGTGTGTATCGTCCCATTTTCACAACTAAATTTTTTATTTTTGTTAAGGTAAAATTCATAATTTATTAATTCATTATTTAAGAAAACCATTTATTTAAAATTACATTTATTAATGTCATGGTATTATAGGAAACGCGAAATCTTCAAGTTGCTGATGAGTGTGTACAATCCCGCATTTGCCTTCCCGCAATCACTAATGTCAGAGTATTATACCTGAAACAATAAACAACTGGGTAAGCATAAAAGTTAGTGAGTTTTCCCCAAAATACAACCATATAAACAGATCACATATACAATAAAACATGTTCGGTCCAGTCAACCATCGGGTTGAAATACCCCAGACTCAGTCAACCTCCGGGTCCAGTCATCCTCAGGATGGAATACCCCAGGTTGGAATGCCAATATAAAACAGGTCCAATCAGCCATCAGACTGGAATACCCTGGGTTTGTTGGCCTACTGCCTCAACCCTACCGCTCTTCCCGAGCCTTCGTACATACGGCTTACAGCCGGCCCGCACTTGGTATCTTGGCCTACCGCACAAAACAGGAGCGCCTCAACCCAACCAAACACAATATGTCGACATATAAACAATCAGGATCAAGTAGGCACATAATACAAGCAAACAACAATCATACAACTCACTACTGCCTACTAAACCTCTCACAACATGCAGCCTCACTACCAGCTAACCCCCAAAGAATGTGTAACCATAAGTAACCAGAGGTGAGGTAGCCACCCGAACAAATGGTCCTACTCTAGAGCCACAACCAAACAAGGAACAGGCAAGAGAGCCTAGACCAAGAGTTTTCAGGCTATCCTACATGACCACCGACAGTCCCTAAGGGCACTCCATAGATGATAACCAGCAAGCACAAATAACATATAGTTGTTGGGTTTTATGTACTCTAACATTCCTATGGTGCACATGCAACCCTAATGCTTTGGATCTATGTTTCCTTTAACTATACATATAACATTGGTTTCCAAAGCATGAAGCCTAAACTAACATACAAAATTTAACATATGAATCATAAAAACAAGTTAGAAAGTTACCTGCTGATGTAGCTAGTAAGACTTTGGCCTTGAGAGAACTTAGCACCCCAAGTGTTGTGCCTCAAACAAGTCACAAACACCAGATAAACAACTAGATGGATATGAGAGAGGCTAAGGAGACTCTAAAACCGATTTCTCTTCTTAGAATGCAAGTAGTGGTCGATTTTAGGGCTTAGCACAACATATATATATATATATATATATATATATATATATATATATATATATATATATATATATATATGTGTGTGTGTGTGTGTGTGTGTGTGTGTAGAATATCAAAGGTCATGCGTAACCCTAATCCATACACATTAGTCTATGATCCATCCATTTGATTTGGATAAATACTTCATGGATTAACCCATAAGCCCATCACAAATCAAACCATGGCTCATTAGCCCAACTCATATGTATCAATTTAATTAGTCTCTTTTGATCACTAAATTAATTCTAAATTAATTCTTGATCAATACTAATTAAATAATATGATTCCTCAATTAATATATTATACTTATAATATATTAATAAATCATAAATAACCTCTTACTCAAATATCCATATATCAAATTGTTCTGGTGAAGGCAACCCGAAATAGACAATGTTACTATCGGGTCAAGTACATACCTAATCCAACAATCTCCTACTTGGATAAGTCTAATAACTATAATTTCCAATGCAACTTAAAATCCAATTAGCAATCGTAGCTCTCAAAAAGTCGCTGTCATACTCTGATGCGTCCATTAGATAAGTGATCATATAATCCTCTGTTCTACAAGATATCATGCGGACAAATACATGGAACATAGTCATACTTATTGTCCTGAAGTTTGTTTCCCGATTTCCGATTTGTCTGACATAGAACATAATTGAACACATCAATTTAGTTCTGACTGGGCCCGACACATATGTCAAAACAAAATCATCGAGGGGCCCAAGATATTGCTTTTAATCCTCTTAGGATAAAAGGAACAGATAAACTTCGACTTATATCCTTGTACTAACTATTCGTTGAATCATACACAAAAGCACGTTTTATAACATCGAGTTACCGATGCGTTTTCGTACTATCAATGTACAACCAATGAATAATCACCAACTCATATATCTTGGTTTGAAGATTATACGATATTATCGTCTCACAATCACCCGTGATAAATTCCATGAAGTGATATGTGAGCGTGGGTTTAGTCTAATACCCAAATCTTATTTCAAGAGCACTCATGAATGTTTGTAACAATATTTTGCTATGTTTAACACCTTAGACAATCATACAAAAACCCATTCATGACAGTCTTCTTTCATAACCTACTTCCAAAGTATGATCGACTTTGGATAGTTTGAATAATCTTATTATTCTGGAAGTCAAAACATGCAAAATGAAACAATAGTAAATAATTGACACAAGATAGTAACATTACTTATAAATAAAAAACACATTTCATTCAATCATCAAATGTCAATTACATTTTAACTATTACAAGTTTCTAAAATTATATCTAATCATTAAAACTAATATCGTCCTGCGGCCCGATTCTTCTAGCGTGCAGCAAGTGCTTGACCCTACTCAGTCCCTTCGTAAGGGGATCTGCTGGGTTCTCCTCTGACGATACCCCCTTCATTACGAGGAGTCCTTCTTCTACTCGATGTCTTATGAAGTGATATTTTCTGTCGATGTGCATGGATCTACCATGATCCCTTGGTTCCTTGGCTAAGGCTGTGACATCCCCATTTTCACGACCAGAAAAGACCGATTTTGTTTATGCTTTATAAAAATCAGAGTACCTCTTTTAATGAAAATGTTGCGGAATTTGTTCCCAGTAAAACATGATAGATACATTATCAAAACATTTCCGAAGAAATGTATTTTTATTCATTTTAAAACATTTGGGATGTCATCGTCAATACAGAAACATAAGCATAAACAGAACTTACATTCATTTACACTAGTGATCTACATCTCTTTAATCTCTCAGTGTAATGTAACTTCGTATCGACACCTGTGATACAAATAAGCTTGAGTGGGTCAGGTTGGGAAACCTGGTGAGTACATAGGGATTTCAATCCCACAATGTTATATCATATATATAATTTAGAACTCACAAAATATATAATTTCAACATATATATATATATATATATATATATATATATATATATATATATATATATATATATATATATAAGCAACTCTTACCCCACCCCGTTAATCCTTACAACGAGACTATCCATACTCTCGGACCTTAAATTTTACCTCTTACTTAACCCATACTCTCGGATCTAATTCATGCTCTCGGATCAATAATTGTGCCCATTCCATACTCTCGGATTTGGGACAAGTGTCTATGTGTAAATCCATTCTCCCGGATTAACGACAAATGACTATGTCCTATCCATACTCCCGGACTGAGGACGAATGACTATGTCTTAATCCATACTCCCGGACTAAGGACAACTGACTATGTCTTAATCCATACTTCCGGATTAATGACAGTTAACTATGTCCAATCCATACACTCGGACTAGTGACAATGACTATGTCTAATCCATGCTCCCGGATCAATGACATATACTAAAGTTTTATTCTCTGAGTATAACTCACTCATACTCGTAAGAAAATACTACCCAATATTCCTCATAATTAATTTAGGTTTACTCTTCATCCTAAATCATCATATATAATCAGGTATGTTCTTTAACACGTATTTCAGGCAACATCAATCAACTCGCACATAAACATATAATTAATACTTCAATCAATACTTGTATTAAAATCATGTTCATGAAAGGGACTATGCACTCACTTGATTAGGTGGTGATTCCGAACTCAGACAGCGCTTCGTTATCTCAAAACAATTTTCCTCGACAAAACCTAGTATCAATACCACTAGGGTTTAGTTTTTAACGTTAACCGCGACTAATTAATAGTCTAGCTATTATTACTATTGTATAAGCGTTAAATAACACTCAATATAACTCATAATAATAGCCCAAATAATTATTTTAAGGTCCTAATAATGTTACTATAATTAAATAAAAGCTATATTAAATATAGTATAGGCGTAGCTCACTTACAGCGGGTTTTTATTAAAAACCGGGCTTCGCTGGAGCAGCGTTTCCGAGCCGAAAGCTTTTCATCTCGGAGCCGTCGGGCGCTCCGGGGCTTTCTTCTCGTGCTAGGGAGGTTCCCTAGACTTGGGAGGGGTTTAGGGAGGTTAGAGAGAAGTTAGAGAGAGAAATAGAGGCTTATGGTGTGAAGAAATTATGAAGAGTTCATCTCTTATTTATAGGAATTTTATAGTAAAGTAGCCTCTAAGCTTCGTCCGTATCTTTTGCGTACGAGCTCTGTTTTCTACGTTCTTTATATCCACGCATTGGTATTTACGAGTAGTACAACTTTCATTTAGACCCCGTCGGCTAATTATCCTTCTAT